TTGTGTGTCAGTGTATAGGTATTTCACAACTCTTATATTCATAAACGGATACAGTACAGAAGTGAAAAATGAAAAGAGAGAGAGAGAGAGAGAGAGAGAGAGAGAGAGAGAGAGAGGGCAGGAAATCACTATGAGGAGAAAGTGTGGTTGAATTTCTGTTTTGTGTTGTGTGAAATGAATGTTAAGTTATTCTTATAGACTCTCTTCTTCTCCTTCCCTCTTCTTCTGTCCCTTCTTCCCTCACTAGAAACCTTCCCTATTAAGATAGATTAAAGAAACTAAACTTGCATTCCCTAGAGAGACGAACAGTGCGAGGAGATATGATAGAAGTATTTAAGTGGGTGAAAGGAATCAATAAAGGGGATATAGATAAAATTCTTATAATATCCGAGCAGGATAGGACTCGGAGCAAAGGATTCAAGTTGGATAAGTTTAGGAGGGAGATAGGAAGAAACTGGTTCACAAATAGGGTGGTGGACGAGTGGAACAAGCTTAGCAACTTTGTAGTAAGTGCGGGAACTCTGGAAAGTTTTAAAAGGATGCTAGAAAGATTCATGGATGATAGAGTGTGGTAGTAACTCTCGACAGGAGCTGCCATGCACAGGCCTACCGGCCTATGGCAGACTCCTTCTTTTCTTATGTTCTTATGTTCCCTTTTTCCTTCCTCCATCTCTGTTCCTCCTTACATCCTTCCCCCTGTTTTCCCCCTCCCTCACTTCCTTCCCTAGTACACATTGCCCTATGCACGAGTCCCTGTGTGTGTGTGACCGATATTGATCATAGTTGTTGAGTGTTGATTTATTACTGTAACTCAGTTAAAAGTTTGGATAGGTTAGGTTAGGTTAGGTCAGGTTTTGTAAGATTAGGTAAGGTTACGTTGTTTGGTTTAGCTAGGTTTAGTTAGGTTTGGTTAGGTTAGGTTAGGTTAGGTTAGGTTAGTTTAGTTTAGGTTTGGTTAGGTTAGGTTAGGTTTGGCTAAGTTAGGTTAGGTTCGGTCCCAGGCGTCAAAACCATCTATCCCATACACCTGTACCTGATACGCTGTTCCCCTTTACTGAGCGTGTTGGCCCGTGCATGATCTTGGCTCAAGTGTCCAGGTCAGTACCCATAGCCGCTCACTCAACCATATACTCTACGCCACACACACACACACACACCCACACACACACACACACACGTACTGACACATGCACGGGTGTTTACTCACGTGCATACACACACACATGTCGTCTCTCTCTCTCTCTCTCTCAGAAAGACATATATTCTCTTTAGTAGTGCTGTAGCTCCTCTCACACGTACTCTCACCCCTCCCTCTCACACTACTCTCACCCCTCCCTCTCACACTACTCTCACCCCTCCCTCTCACACTACTCTCATCCCTCCCTCTCACGCCTTCCTCTCACATATTATTATTATTATTATTTTTATTTATTTTTTTCCTGTTCCCATGTTGGTTCTGCCTCGAAGCTTTTTGTACATAGCATTTAGTATTTAATCATTTCTCAGTGACACAGAATATTGTAATTTTTCCTTATACAATATACTTTGAAGTTACACCTAACACAAAACTTCAATTTTTTTTCGGTATTATTCCCGACTTGTTTTATTGTAGTTTTTTTAATACTTTTTTTTTATTCTCGAGGTAAATCCTGACACAATTTTATAAACTTTTTGTCATTTTTTTTCTACACAATACTGCCTTTTATATATATTTATGTCAATTCTGGCACAATTATTTATTTTTGTTACTTTTTTATACTATTCAAACTTTTGTATTGATTTCTGACAGTTAATTATGTTGTCGAAATTCTCTCCACTCCCTTCGTCTTGTAGGTGTCACGTTTACCACCGTGTGTCATCTGTACTGTCATGTCGCGTCTCTCTACAGCAGAACAGAAAGGGTTGTAAACGTCCCCTTACAGAACCCCAGCACCTCTTTCACCCTCATCACCTTTCATCCTATTATATTCGTTTTCCTCCCATTCTTCTCACCCTTCACCCTCCCTCATCCTTCATCCTATTATATTCGTCTTCCTCTCACCCTCCTCACTCTCACCCTTCACCCTCCCTCAACCTTCACTCTAATATCTTCGTCTTCCTCTCATCCTCCTCACCTCCCTTACCCTCCTCACTTACTTCACCTGCCTCGCCTTCCTCTCGCCTCACCTCCCTCACCCTCACACCTACTGTATGTATTCGTCCATTGCTCTGCTTCTAGATCTATTTACTAGCAATACAATCCCTCCCAATCGTCTAAGTATATATTTTACCATCTTTTTCATCTCAACTACTAAGATTATTTCAGTCTTGATAACATTTTTAAATAAGGGAATCGTGTGCCAGATGCCGTCACTGTTACAGCTCTGTCGTTACACTGTGTGGCTCGGAGCAGTGACTTCGTGCCTTATACATCACTGTCGTTACATGATGTGGCGCGCGACAGTGACTATGTGGCCTCTACATCACTGCCATTATATGGTGTGGCCCGGGGCAGTGACTACGTGCACTATATGTCAGCACTGTCGTTAGTCGTTACATGGTGTGGCCCGCGGCAGTGACTGCGTGGCCTATACATCACTATCGTTACATGGTGTGGCCCGGGGCAGTGACTACGTGGCCTATACATCACTGCTGCGATACCAACTTGGTAATTCCCTCTGGATGGTAATATTTCTGCATTAAAATCACAGATCTTATACTTCATTCCCAAGATGACAGGGAATATATTCAAAAGTGGCTGACAAGACAAATGGCGCCTCTGGTGGTGCTCTTCCCAGGAAAATGTTGGAGGAAACTTGTCCTGCCAGGCGTATCCTTCACTACTACTGAGTCCTGTACCCGTGGTGAATCCTTCCAAGCGAATTCTTCACACATATCGAGTCCTATACCACTTATGAGTACACCTTCAACACCTGACATGATGTTATTATATGTCACGTGTATTGATGGTCATTGTTCATTATGTTGACTGGATGTGTGATGCGCTAATAGGACAGACGGGTTGTGTTGTGCTGTGTTGTGCTGTGTTGTGTTGTGTGTTGTGCTGTGTTGTGCTGTGTTGTGCTGTGTTGTGCTGTGTGTTGTGTTGTGTTGTGTGTGTTGTGTTGTGCTGTGTTGTGCTGTGTTGTGTTGTGCTGTGTTGTGTTGTGCTGTGTTGTGTGTTGTGCTGTGTTGTGCTGTGTTGTGTTGTGTTGTGTTGGGGATATGATGCAGTATACCCGACTGAGTTTCAACGAACCAGACAGGAATAACATCCATACTTTATGAGCTTAAATCAAATTATATCTTTTTGACCTGAGCATTATAGAACCGTGTGTGTGTGTGTGTGTGTGTGTGTGTGTAAATGCATACCCCCTATGTGTGTGTGTGCATTCACGCGTGTATGCACTTTCCGGTTACATACATTCGTTCATGAGAGTTTAGCTCACACACGCTTGCTTCTTGGGATGCATATGCAGGAGTGCCGCGTGTGTGAGGGCGGCTGCCTCGAGCCGCGCACACAACAGGTGTTTCTCTCTGTACCGTAGAGGGAGGCTGGCTCACTCTCCTCTCCTCCGCCACACACACACACACACACACACACACACACACAAACTTTATGCACGTACACAAACGCTCATTCACACAAGCGCACAAGCACACAAGCAGACAATCAGGCAAACACACACACGCGTACGCACAAACACACACACAAGCTCATGCTCACAAAGCTTATGCTTACACACACACACACACACACACACACACACATATTTATATTTGATACATATGTACACATAAGCACACAAGTTTCACATAAACGTAAACACATATTTACACATGCACATGTATTCAGACACATTTATACACACACAGATGTGCATACACTTCATACACACCCATGTACGTTTGAAGTACACACACACACACACACACACACACACACACACACACATTAATAACAGTATTTTTAGTAACATAAATATGGTTAAGGTCCGTCATGTTTATAAATTACAAGTATATGAGGGAGTATACGTGTAATGGTGACATGGCTGATTATGCAGTAAATTTCTCCTGCAAGCTCCTATGGTTCGTCGTGTGTACATAGACAGTGCAGGTATACAGATAATGGTAAACATTAAGCCGATTTAACCAAAGACACCCAAATAAAGGTGTTAGAAGCGTGTTTGAGCGGAGATGAGTGAATAGTCTGGTTGTAGAGTGTCATTACCAGATTCAGATGCACCCCACGCAGCAGACTACATTGCATTGACTTTGTCTCGACCTTGACTTGAACACAGTCAACTTTGTGTTTGGGGTTGCTGCTTTATGGGATATTGTTCATTATAGTGCTATGACCATGATCAAGGTGTTAGTGACCTGTGTGTTCGAGCTGACTGATATACATTATATGTGATCGTTATTATAGAAAGATAAATTATTTTAAAAAGTGTACATCGAAAAAAAACATTACCAAGTGACGTCAGTATCACCAGTTATGTTTGTAGGTGAAGGAGTTTGTGATGAACAATAAATAGGAGGTAAAGAGACTGTACAGTACAGTGTATATTATATTACCTTCTGAATCACAAGGATACCTACGTAGTGACATGTTTTACTCCAAAACTTTTCATTAGTAATGTCTTACTTGAAAAGAGAGTACAGTTCAGTATATGTTATTTTAGGAATGATAGATATTGGAGCTGTACTCATAAACTCTGGCATCTCTGCTCTGTTGTCAAAGTTTATATATATATATATATATATATATATATATATATATATATATATATATATACTCAAATTTTTACGACATGACACAATACGACAGGTAAGAAATAAATGCGACAAACTGACAACAAAGGATTCAATGAAATAAACAGCATCAAGGAATATATACATTTTTTTTTTTTTAAGAATTTAATGTGTTTCATTACATTGATACGTATCTCAGGTGCCACAGCCACTGACCAGAATAACCCGTGACCATTAAAATACTACTCAGACAGACAGAAACTCACCTGGTTGAGTAATGATAACACAAGTGACATACACACACAGCAACACCAACATGTTGACTACGTGGCCCCGCCCCCGTGTCAAAGTCTCCTCTCTCACTGGCATGTCCACAACAAGGCTATTACCCGTGTCCACGTATCATACTGACCACACGAGTATGTCACTAATAAGTTTTATCTCATTAAACCGTCAAATAACCTTTATTAATGTTAATCTTCACATATATGTTTAAAAAATAATTATAAGTGGGTTTTTCCGTAAAATCTCAAATCCGACAGCAGTTCGGGTCAGGACTTGAGGTCACAAATTCACTATAGTTTATTTCACAAGCAAGTAATTAAATCACCGTACATGCATTTTCTACACAGAACACAATATTATTTATCACGACATCTACCGATACTGTCAACCAAGAGCGCGAGAAACACGAGTAATCGCAAAAGTTTCACACACACACGTCTCCCGGAGTAAGTCAAGCGCGCCGAAGTGGGAGCGTCCACAGCCTCTCTCACCGACGTGCCGTACAACACTGATCCCCTGACCCAGCTTGGCCCTCCACCTGCTACTCTCACGCCTCCTCACCCTCCTTCGCTACACGCTTGCATGCCCTCCTCCCTCCATCCTTCCTCTCGCTACACACAACACACACACACACACACACACCCTCCCTCTCTCGCTACACGTTCACATGCCCTCCTCCCTCCATCCACCCTCTCACTACATACACACACCCTTCCCTCGCTACACGCACACGCCCTCCTCCCTCCATCCTTCCTCTTGCTACACACACATACACACACACACCTCCCTCTCTCGCTACACGTTCACATGCCCTCCTCCCTCCATCCCTCCGCTACATATAGTACATACTCTTCCTCCCTCCCTCGCTACACGCTTGCATGCCTTCCTCCCTCTATCCTTCCTCTCGCCACACACACACACACACTTCCTCTCTCGCTACAAGTTCACATGCCCTCCTCCTTTCCTTCCTCCTTTCTTCCCTCCGACGCTACACGCTCTTTTCTTCCTTCCCTCCGTTCCTTTCCCCCTCCCTCCCTCCCTCCCTCCCTCCTTCACTTCAACCCTCTCATTGTCACTCACTGCCCTCTTTCCCCTTTCTTCTTACCTCCCCCTCCTCTCCCCCCTGGTATCTTTCAATCATTACGAATCCCGAATATAATGACCAAGCTGTTTGTATAAGTGAATATCAATGAATAGCTATTGACCCACCACGACAAGGAGCAGGGGGTGTTGTAGTGTTCGCCTCCTGTCACCGCTCGTCTCGTCCCACAGGGTGTTTGCCCGCCGGTATCAACACTACGTACAGTTTCCCACGAATTGTATCGAAATTAGACGTAAATATTTTGCCAGGGAGGGGAGGTGTATGTTAGTGTAATGTGGGGTGTGTTTACCTGTTTACATAGACTAGAAATTCTTTTAACTTTTTTAAACATTTACGTATGACCTGTGCTGATGTTTCATTCAATACTAACCAGTTGTCAGTAATTTAAGGCGATAAACTTGGTATAATGTATAGGAGTTTATAGGTAGTGAGTGTAACATATGATAACGTGACCCAATAATATGCTCTCAAGGTCAATTTGGGTACTATTATATATATAGCTCTTAGATTATTTCTTGTTTGTCTCATGAAATAATAATAATAAATAATAAAAATAGTAATAATAGTAAAAAATATAATAGTGATAAAGTAAAATGATTAATGATTGTAAGTGTAGTTAATAGAATGTTAGATAAAGAACACAACTATAATGGTTCAAAGAAGACAGGGGCTATGTAGATGAAATATGAGTGTTGAGTAATATTGAAAAAAAAATAATCACTGATAAAACGAAGACACAATTTATGGCAATTGTTGATACGGAAAAAATAATAATAGTAAATATTTTTAAGTATTGAAACTGTATAGGGTATATGGAATACAATTGAATGCTACACAAAGAAGGTTTAAGAGAGAGAGAAAGAGACCCACGTGAAGGATGTATAACGCTACCATGGTTGTTTACACTTCTTTCATGAATGTTGTATAATAGAGGTGAAAGCAAGAATGAATAAGAAGAGACTAGGTTTGATTGATTGGTATATAGACACAAATAAGAGTTAAATATCATTCATAGACAACAGAATAAGTGACAAATATCAGTAAGTGTGAGAGAATGTGTAGAAACGGAAAGCTAATTAGGAATATGAATAAGAGTAATGCAACGAAAATAAAGAAGGAAAGGGAACAGGGAGAAAATGAATGTTAGCATAAATGGAGATAGACTGGAGGGAGGGAGAACGCGAGACACCTGTAAGTGGATGTGTCAGCTAATGGAACAATGGATGATGGATTGAATCATGAGGGTCGGAAGGTCATGGGTGCCTTTGAGAAATTTATGGGGAGAGAGAATTGTGTGAAAGGTGGCGAAGATGAGGATATATGGAGGAACAGCTGAGTCAACACTACTGTAAGGGCGTAAGGGGTGGGGGAAGGGTGAAGGCTTTAATAATTGGCGAGTCTTGTAGTGAATGGGGAGTATTGAGATTTATGTTATACTACTACTACTACTACTTTTTTTTATAATAACGTGGCCTCCAGCCTCCCCCAACAGCCACACCTTCGCCGCCATTTTATTACCTTAATATTAAGTATCCTAATACATAAGTAGCTGCCCTAGCTGTGTTGAATTAGTTGAGCCGCAGGTCTATGCAGCATTCAGTGACTGTAGCCTCAAAGTCAATATCTGCAGCTGTTGTCGGCTTTGGGGCCGAAGCTCTCGTTCCCCTGAGGCAGAGCAAAGCCGACCGAAGGAGAGAGAAGGACAGTCGACATCTCATCCAGGCTGTAACATAACTTCTGGGCTGCTGCTTCTGTTCGGAGATCACCTCCGCGAGTCTGGTGTAGAAACATCTTGCACTTGGTCCCATCCCACCAGAGGTTGTGAACACTAGAGGAGTGAAGCTGCCTTGATCGACGTTCTGAATTCTCTTCCCATATGCCCTTATCTTGTCGTTCTCGTTCCTCCTGTGTGCAGCATCGAGAGCTAAGTTATGGTGACATGCGGCCATGGGATAAAAAATCCTGATGTCGAAGAAGGCTCGCTGTCCCCGCGTCCACAATCCTCGAGCACTGACGTCAACACGGGCTTCGTTAGATGTGTTTGAAGTCCTATGTTGGAAGATCTCACCGTCCAATGGAAGGAGGGTCGGCTCTACCATGACATCCCGGCAGATTTCCTTCAACATATTTGCTGTGAGGTCCCTTACTATGGCGTGATCGACGTCATAGGAAGAGCCACACACGCATTACTACTATTACTACTACTACTACTACTACTACTACTACAAATAATAATAATAATAAATCATTCACTGTACCTCCTAGACAGGGTACAATTACAAAGCATTTTTTTTCTTCAGTTAAGAGACCAAGTCATGACATAACATAGAGAAGCTGCCACCAAGAGCTCATTGAGGCGTCACTTTCCTCACATTCGTTCATTCTCACCTGTGTGTGTGTGTGTGTGTGTGTGTGTGTGTTTGTGTGTGTTAATAAATATCACGTGTTATTTATCTTCTTCATCTCTTATCGTGTCACAAGGCGTGTTAAATATCAATGAAAATTACTCGCTCGTAAGCATCGTTATTTCACATTTTATTAAACTTCTGTGTTACGATTCGATAAAGAATACATATTAAGTGTTATTTTCACCACACATTATCATCACCTTCGTCTATGCAGCGGGGGATCTTACTCCACCTTATCTTTCCCTCTCCTTTGACAATATCCCTCCAGCAGAGCTTCATCACCACAATCTTTTTCTTATTATTAACTTTTTCGTTGAACAAAAACAAGATAATCTATTTAGTGAGGTAAGCTCGGTTCTCAGATGTCCTCACTTGATCTCGAGTGGAATAAAAGTAGATATACGTAAAGCCTCTCAACGACTCCTTGCTGCTCGAGAATACTGAATACCCTGGTGTTAAATTCCACCCTTTTTCGAGTCAGTTTTTCGTCATTTGTCTTCATCATTTTTTCGTAATTCTATCCAGATATCTCTCGAGCGATGTCTGGTCTTTATTTTCATGATCTGTACGAAATTTCTTTTTCTAGATTCTTTCAGTTTTAGTCGACAAATTCACTAGTATTCATTGACGATAATTTGTATGCTTTTTTCATTAAGTTTCGTACCAAAATCTCACGAATTGTTGACATATACTATTATTATGGCTGTGTTATGAAGCGATAAAATTACATATACATTACTCGCTAGTGTGTTAAAATGTGTTGTAAGCTCATGACTGGGAGTGGTTTAACGAGGTATAGATTCCCAACTACAGCTTAACACTACTCCTGAATGTGTGAGACCTATTCTTGACGTCAATGCTCATACTCTTGGCACTCGTGTTGGTTACGATGCTCGGCCCTGTAAACTATGCTTACGTTAGGTTAGGTTTTTAGATATGTTTTCATTTTGAGTTTACTGAAGAGTATTATTTTTTTTTTAGGGAGTAAGGTTCGACTTTAGATTAGTTCGTAGCTTTAGTTCCATCCAACAATATCATTCTTACATCGTTAAAGAAAAAAAAATAGTGTTGAATAGGATAGTCTCCCCTCCTTGAAGAAAATATATTCATTAGAAGGGTGACTATGGTAAATGTATGGGTCTGTATTCATATTTGTATTATGTGTGTGTTGTTGTGTGTGTGTGTGTGTGTGTGTGTGTGTGTGTGTGTGTGTGTGTGTGTGTGTGTGTGTGTGTGTGTGTGTGTGTGTGTGTGTGTGTGTTACAGTCTCCGCCACCTGCATTGTGAGAGTACCATCAAGCATAATAGTTCACCATCATAATAGTAATAATCTGCCCACACACACACAAACTCCCATCGCCCCGGCCACAAAAGTGAATATTGATTTATGCTAAAATATGTATTCTGAATATAAAGTTCATTTTACTTTTTTGTACATAGTTCCTGAAGACTCTCTCTCTCTCTCTCTCTCTCTCTCTCTCTCTCTCTTTTTTTTTCTCTCTCTCTCTCTCTCTCTCTCTCTCAGTCTACATTTTTTTCCTCCTCGTCTTTGCAGCACCACAAACCTAACACTTTTTATTCTACTCTGTGGCGCTAATGAATGTACACTGACGGACACCGTGAATTACTGAGGGTGTTTCTTCTTCTTCTTCTTCTTCCTTTCTTCTTCTTCTTCTTCTTTCTTCTCTTTCTTCTTCTTCTTCTTCTTCTTCTTCTTCTTTCTTCTTCTTCTTCCTTTTCTTTCTTCTTCTTCTTCTTCTCCTTCTTCTTCTTCCTTCTTCTTCTTCTTCTTTCCTTCTTCTTCTTTTCTTTCTTCTTCTTCTTCCTTTCTTTCTTTCTTCTTCTTTTCTTTCTTTCTTCTTCTTCTTCTTCTTTTCTTCTTCTTTCTTTCCTTCCTTCTTCTTCTTCTTCTTCTTCTTCTTCTTCTTCTTCTTCTTCTTCTTCTATCTTTCTTCTTCTTCCTTCTTTCCTTCTTCTTCTTCTT